AAATGAATTGCTGAAGCGAAAGGTATTCTGGATGACAGAAACAGGAGGAGCTGAGACGGAGACGTGGAGAAGCATGGTGCATGTGTCTGCCTGGAGAACTGGATGTCTGAAATAGTGAGCATGCGAGGAAAGAGGGGGCAAAGACAGAATCGGACAGCGCTTGAAGGATCTCTTGAGTGGATTTGGGTTTGGATTTCAGAGTGGTGGAGGCCAGGGACACCACAGCCTGAGCACAGTTGCCATTGTATGCGCTGGATTTATTCACGGCATGGGCAACTTCCTTTGACCCTTCCCCCAGCACACTTCCTGCCAAGAAACAGATACTATCTAGAAGCCTTTCGTGTGCTGTACACCCAGTCAACTCACTTAGTAGCTAATCTACAAACTTCTTTGGCCGTGGTTGTCTGGGCCCCAAAGGGATCCAATGTAGCTACAAAATTGGCTCCAGCGTGGACATTTCGCGTTGAAACCTGAACAGCTGGCGCATGGCAGCGATTGTGAGTTGCTCTGACGTAGTCTGAAGGTCAGAAGGAAGTCATCAGTGAAAATTCCTTCATCGTCTTTCCTGTGCCAGGGACCTGGGGTCCATCTTACTCTTACACCTCCCTAGATAACTTCTATTATTCCCTCCTATGGGGCAGCCTTCTTAACACTCTGGTCTCTGGTGTTCTAAACAGTCTTTTAAACCTAGGCAATTTCTTCTTCCAGGTATCACCCCCAACCACAAACTAGGGACCCAGCAGTCAAACCTCTTGACAGACCAGACCAAAGCGTCACAGCCGTTGTCTGGAATTATTTTTATACTTCCTTGGGGACTTGTATGGAATGAGTGACAGAATGAAAAGATCAGGAGAAAATTCCTTGAGGATTAAGTGTGGGATACTTGTCCCGGATCCTGGAAGAATGTGTCATTTATTTTCATTTTCTCTCAGTGTTCATTTTCTTCTCACATCTCTGTTCTCTCACATCCCTTTCTGTTCGTCTCTTCTCTTCTCTCTTCTCTGTGGTAACACACTTTTCCCTCTCTTATTTTTCCTAACTGGATTCGAGTTGGTAATGGCTTTGGTTTTTGTTTATCTTCTGCTGATCTCTGTGCCCATTGCCGTTTGTATGTCACCAAGTGGGACTCTCTTGCTGAGTCCCAATCTCTCCGTCCACTTTGTAGGTGAGGGCAGGAGCACACAGACTGAATTATTTGTTTGAGCTCAGCATGTAACAACAGGAATTTGAAGTCTGAATAACTCCTATACCTGTGTTCTCTTTACTAGTAATTGTATGGTTTTATTTTCTCCATTTCCAACTTCCCCTTCTCGGGTTTCATATTTCAAGATTTATTTTGCTTTTAATTATGTGTGCATGTGGCTGCAGATGTGCACAAGAAGGCAGAAGCGAGTCCCAGATCCCTTGGGTTGTGAGCCACCGTGTACATCCGAGAAACTGAACCTGGGTCCTCTGTAGGAGCAACAAGTGCTCTTAACCACTGAGCCACTTCTCCGGCTCCATCCATCTGGGTTGTTCAGCTACTAACAGGACACAGCCAAGGAACAAGCAGTTGGCTGGCCCTTGGGCAGAGCACCAGAGCCTCTTATTCCTCTTTTGCTCAGCTCAGATCTACTGAGCACCTACTCTGGGCCACTCTCTGGATGACAGAAGAAAAGGCATTATCTGTTCTCAGAATCTCCCCGCTGGGGAGAAGATGACAAGGGCTGGGTGGAGAATCCTGCACATCAGCAAAGTAGCACAGGAGGGAGCAGGAGACCTAGAGAAGGCAATGGCTGGTAAAAGGGACTCAGCTTTGGGGGCAGGGGTATGTAAGAAGTAGCTGGAAGGAGGGTGTCTTAGTTACTGCTCTACCACTGTGAAGAGACACCGTAGCCAAGGTAACTGTTAAAAGCAAGAATTTAATTGGAGACTTGCTTACAATTTTAGAGGATTAGTCCATGATCATCATGGCTTGAAGACATGCATGGCACTAGTTTAGCCGCTGAGAGCAAGGCCACACCTCCTCCAATAAGGCCACACCTCCTCCGACAAGGCCACACCTCCTTTGACAAGGCGACAAGGCCTCAGCTTCTCCAATAAGACTTAATCTTTCCCAAACTATTCCACTAGCTGGGGGCCGAGCATTCAAACACATGAGGCTATGGGGGCCATTCTCATTCAAATACCACAGAGAGCATCTGTGAACCGAGTGGAACTTGGTATAGACGGACAAAGGAAATTCATATGACTTTTTATAAGCAGATATCTTAACAAATGGAGCCACAGTTGCAATGACTATACCATATCACGAAGATCAGCATTGTCCTACAGCCTGAAGCTCGTGGGAGTTGAAGGTGGGGACCTACTGAAAACCTGTGCTATCTTTAAAGTGACCCAAATGTGCCTTTGTTTTCTGTCTTTCCCCATTGCTGATGCAAGGCTGCTGATTCTGGTCAGTAGAAATGCCTCTGGGGAAGCAGAGTCTGCTACCCCAGTCACTCCTTATCTCCTCCTCCACTTCAGCTTGCCTTTTAAGAGTCATAAACAAAAACAAAAACAAAAACAAAACAAAACAAAACAAAACAAAAAAACCCTCTGCCTAACAGCCATTCAAAACATATGGAACATTTATGGTGTGAATTTCAGTATATCACGTTCTTCATGCCGTTAGACCCTCCAGATCCTCTGGTATAGCTTCACCAGCCCCACTGGAATGAGAGGGAGCAGGCTTAGTTACGTAAGCGCTCAGAGGCACATGGCAGACTCCAAGTCTAGTTTCCCGACTCCACGTATAGTGCCTGGACGGTTGGCATAAGAATCATCTGAAAGCCTTGTTACAAATCCAGATTCCTAAGAGGCCACCCCATTAGCTAGAAGAATGGAATAGAAATGGTTGGGCTGGGAACGGAGTTGGAATACAATTGCTTTTCAGAAATTAACTTTATTAGGAGAAAGGTTCTCAAAACTGTGATTGGGCCTTGAGGTGAGGGAGCATTAGAGAATTAGCTCAATAGCTAGAGCACTGGATTCTCTTCCAGAGGACCCAGGTTCAAGTCCCAGCACTGCCGTGGTGGCTCACAACTGTTTGTAACCCCAGTCTAGGGGATCTGATGCCCTCTTCCAGCATTGCATATACGTGGTGCTTAGGCTTATAGGCAAAACACACACACATACTCATAAATATATACACACATATATACATACATACAGAAGGAAAAGAAAGAAAAGAACAGGACAATCATCCAAACAATAAAAAAAGGTTTAAAGGATAAAACCCAAATACAGGCTTCATTAAGAGGGTTGGCTTAAAGAAAGGAGAGAGGGGCTGAAGAGACAGCTCAGTGGTTAAAAGCACTTGCTGTTGTTTCAGAGGACCTAAGTGCAGTTCCCAGCACCCACATGGAAGCTTAGAGCCATCCATAACTCCAGTTCTAGGTGATCTAATGCCCTCTTCTTGCCTCCCTGGGTACCAGGAGCACATATGGTGCACACATACGCATGCAGGAAAAAACACCCAGACATAAAATAAAAATAAATCATTTTTTAAAAGAAAGGATGTGAGGTAACCATTGCAATAGAGCGAGAATGGGGGAGGCCCCAAAGAGAAAGCTCTTGGAGATGAGAAATCCCTAAACGAAGGTGGTATTTGGTTTTTATATCCTCTAGGGGTGGTCGGACCTTTCCTGTTGCAGGGTCTAGCTCAGCACCATGTACACAACAAAGAGTATGGAGAAGTCCGGTGCTGGTGAAGACCATTAATTAGGGCCCCACTGCTACGCCATAACGCAAGTCTTTTTAGCTCTCCATCCTAGGGATTGGGGTGGGGTGGGGTGGGGTCTGGCCCTCTTAGAGAGACGGATGTCTTCAAGGGACAGGCCATGATCTAACACACTTCACCTTTTGCAGTAGAATGTCTGGGAGTAAGACATAGATGTTCCATTGCAACACACACCTTACGTGGTTTCTAGAACCTTCATGTGGTGCCACCCTGACTTGTTTTAGAACTTCCTCTCTCACTTTGGAATGGGAGGGTACTTTTCAGTACATTTGGCTTAAAGAAAATGACACTGTCCTCAGTGTGTGTGTGTGTGTGTGTGTGTGTGTGTTTGCATGAATTCATGTGCACAGCATGCATGCAGCAGTCCATGAGGCCAGGATTCCCCAAAATTAGAGTTTCGGAGGGTTATGAGCTGCCATGAGGGAGCTAGAAACAAAACCTGGGTCCTCTGCAAGAGCAGCCAGTGCTTTTAACTGATGAGCCAGCTCTCTTGCCACGTCCTCATTCAATTTATATTTTAAGAAAATAAATTTACTAAATCCACCTCACCCCCATTCTCTTCTCTTTTCTACACACCACACCACTATTCCTTCATTTGCTTTTTCCTCTTTTTTTTGACCAAGTCAATCCCTGTAGTACTATCAGTATGTACAAGGGGAAGGATTATTTACTGCAGCATGGGTAGCCCTGGGGCAAACCTCTGAAGAAAACTCTTTCCTGCCCAGCCATCCTCTGTTGCCAATAGCTTCTCAGCGAGGTGTGGGACTTCATGACTCCCATTCCCACCCAAGATTGGACTTTGTCTTGTGTATACACCCACAGTCTCTATCAGTTCATGTGTGGGAAAGTGGGTCAGGTGGACTATTCTACGGACCTAGCTCCAGATGCCAAGGTCACCTTCCAAAAAACACAAACAGCTCTAATAATCAGATGGTAGTTTTTAGACATTTAAATTTTATTTTAAGCCATCCACAAATATGTGTTTTTGAGACAGACTCACATGTAGCCCGGCTAACCTCTAACTGTAGTCTCTATGAGACCCCAGGAAGCTTGAACTCTTGATTCTTCTGCATCCGCTTCCCGAGGGCTCAGATTATAGGTGTGCACCACCACATCCAGCAAAGGGGGCACTTTCTTAAAGAACTCATTGGTACGAATCAAAGACCCAGAGCTTGATGGGGCCTTCAAACTTCTTGAAACATCCTTCACAGACATCTTTTTCTCTCTGCCCTGTTTGCAGAAGGCTCAGAATCGGTCTCCTAAGCTTGGCAAGATGGGTGACTGGAGCTTCCTGGGGGAGTTCCTGGAGGAGGTCCACAAGCACTCCACGGTCATCGGCAAGGTCTGGCTTACCGTCCTGTTCATTTTCCGAATGCTGGTCCTGGGCACCGCTGCTGAGTCCTCCTGGGGAGACGAGCAGGCTGATTTCCGGTGCGATACCATTCAGCCTGGTTGCCAGAATGTCTGCTACGACCAAGCCTTCCCCATCTCCCACATTCGCTACTGGGTACTGCAGATCATCTTCGTCTCTACGCCGTCTCTGGTCTACATGGGCCACGCCATGCACACAGTGCGCATGCAGGAAAAGCAGAAGCTGCGGGATGCGGAGAAAACCAAAGAGGCCCGTGCCACTGGTGCCTATGAGTACCCGGTGGCCGAGAAGACAGAGCTGTCCTGCTGGAATGAAGTGGAAGGAAAGATTGTCCTCCGGGGCACTCTCCTCAACACCTATGTCTGCACCATTCTGATCCGCACCACCATGGAGGTGGCCTTCATCGTGGGCCAGTACCTCCTCTACGGAATCTTCCTGGACACCCTTCACGTCTGCCGCAGGAGTCCCTGTCCTCACCCAGTCAATTGTTACGTCTCGCGGCCCACAGAGAAGAACGTCTTCATCGTCTTTATGATGGCCGTGGCTGGACTGTCTCTCTTTCTCAGCTTGGCTGAACTCTACCACCTGGGCTGGAAGAAGATTCGACAGCGCTTTTTCAAGCCCCGCCTAACCCAGCGCCTCACTCCTCCCCCTGACTTCAACCAGTGCCTGAACAGAGCAGACCAGAAGTACTTGGGGGGCTTAAGTAATAATATGTGTTCCCAGAAGAATCCAGACACTCTGGCTGCAGAGGAAGTGCCGCACCAGGAGAATATTTCTCAAGGTTTCAACATGCAATATAGCCACAAACCCGAGGAGCTCAATGGAGCCTCTCCGAGCCACGACCTTCCTCCGGGCTACCGTGGTGACAAGCGCCGCCTTAGCAAGGCCAGCAGCAAAGCAAGGTCAGATGACCTGTCAGTGTGACCCTCTGAGGAAAGGCCAGTCCCAGAAGGGATCTCAGGAGGCTGTGACAGGGAGAAGCAGTCTCTCAGGACAGTATATTCTCCCATTCAGCACTGCCATGCTCCTTCCGGTCCCGAGTCTGGATGGCATTGCTCATCCATTCTCAAAATCACAATTCGAGGGTCTTCTCAAGGACAGGGCTACTCCTCAGGACTCATCCTCTACCAGGATACACAGTGAAGCCTTTCACGTGATTTACTAAATTGGATAGGGTGGAGGCAGGAACGGGAACCATGACAAATCTGGCCTGGGAAGGACAGACACGAGGATTCAACACCAGCAACTTACCAGATAGAAAGTCCAGGTCTTGGCTCCTTTGGTACTATGCCCATCCTTTTTCTTCTTTCTTCTTTCTTTTTTTTGGAAGAGTCCAAGCTTCTCAGTCAGTTGAGAGTGTTCATCAAGTACTTTCCTTTGTATCATCCCCTTGAATCTGTTGCTCTCATGGGCCATCCCTCGGAGTGGTGCTTAGGTGACCGTGAGCTGCCCTTGGCTACACCTCCCTTCTCCCAGTCTTAAGGGGGTATCCTTGGTCCCTAGCCAGCATCAGCTTAACAAGTGCCTTGGTATGTGCCTTTGGCAAACATCTCATGGTAGTGATGCAGCCTTTCTGCCAGGAGAGACACCCAGCTCCTCAGGGTGCCAAGTCCCCTAGGCAGTCACTGTACACACAGGTAGCACTGACACTGCCACCCCTGTCATCCTGCGGTCCTTTACAGGACAACGTAACCATAGAAACCATCCTTGCCTGCATCCTCGGCTGTTCACCCAGGGCTCCTCTCACATCTTTCTGAACAGGAATGTCCAAGAAGTCACTATCCTCTCGAGAACCCTGGCTAGATTACCAGTCACCAAGTTCAGGGGAAGTTTCCCAGCATTTGGGGAAACAAGGAAAGCATTGTACTTCTCCTAGGAAAAAACAATTCTGCTGTTAAAATGAAAATTTTAAAATAAATGAGAGAAGATACCAGAAAACTATTTTCCCTCCTATGTATGTCATTCACTATCTGACTGCCAAGAGGAGGCATGTTGACAGCTACCCAGATCTTTCTAAGAGGCATCAAGGGGACATAGAAGAAGGAGGGGCTCTCCAGCTGTTTTGGGCTAAGCTCTTATTTAAATTCCTATGTTTCCTTGGTACCCCTAGGAATATTACCAGGGAAAAACTGCAGAAAAGCCCTGCCTTCCTCAAGGTCTAGCCTGGGGTCTCTACTGAGTAGATCCATAATAGGTTGTCTTCCATTTCTTTTAACGCAGATAAAAGATGCTCAGGATCAGATACCGAGACTCATAGACACGTTGCTGCATTAAAATAGATCGGTGCGTGCATACATGTATATACATGTGTGTGCATTTGTGTGGACATGTGCATGTGTGTGTACATGCTTATAGGATGGTGAAGAAATGTCCTAAAGAAAGGTAAGGAAATGAGAAATGTGTAGAGAAGTTTGGGTCTTTCTGCCCCGCTTGCAGTTGTCAGGCAGGAGGGCGGAGCTTGCATCTCCATCAGCCTAAGGGACAGGCAGTCCCGAAGGGTGAAGGCTCAGAGGTCAGTCTCTGCCCCCTGACCCATCACTGGGACCCTAGGCTGGCATTTGGATGGTACTGGTGGATAGAAAGGAAGGCTTGGGAAGGAAGAAGTGATGGGATACTTGGGAAAGCAGGATGCCCCCTCCCCTGCCCCGCCAACACATTTCATTCATTATGATTCTCTGTCTTTCTAGTTATGGGATTTATTTGTTTTCTGCAATGAGTGTTTTTGAATTAGAAACTCTAAGATCAGCCTTCGAATGGTGAGGTTTTCAGAAGGGAAAAGGGAGATAATATGTGTAACTTGTTTTCAATAAAATCTGCCTCTACATGCTAGCTCTGGTTTGCGTGTCCTTCGATGTGACTTTAAGAGGGTGACAGTCTCGATGGGGAAGGGAGGGCATGGAGTCTCAGCTGCTGATTTCCAACTGGTCTGCTGTGAGCTTCTGCATGTCTGAGGCCTTGTTTCTCCCCTGTAAATGGGATCTAGTGGTGTCTACTCCATTAGGCCGCGAGGTGAGAGACTCCTTGGGAAGAGAAGAGCAGATTATCTCAGACTTAATAGTTTGCAATTAAGTGGTAACTGTTGTTATGATTTTCAATCCAGAGTGGTTGAGAATCCAAAGTGTTAAGGGATGACTTTAGAACTCCCCTTTTGGGGCTCACAGTTTGATCTACCAAAGGTGAACAAATGAACTCATGTAAAGAAAGCAATTGGGGGCCCCCAGAAGACTCCATGGATAAGAGCACTTGATATGCAAGCATGAGGACCTGAGTTCAAATCCTTAGTACTTACATAAAAGCTAGGCATGGTCATTGGCTTGTAGATTGGCACTGTGGGGTGGAAACGGAAGGATTGCCAGCCAGCAGCCTAGCTCCAGGTTCAGGTGACAGAAGATTATAGGACAGGGTACTTGATGTTCTCCTCTGGCCTGTGTGTATGTGTGCACCCCGCATACTAATACATGTGCCATACATTCCCACATACACCACACACTCACCCATACATCACACTTACCACACAGTCACAAACTGTGGTGGTTTGGAAAAAAAAATGACCCCCCAAAGGGAGTGGCGCTATTAGGAGGCGTGGCCTTGTTAGAGGACATGTGTTACTGTGGAGGTGGGCTTTGCGATCTCATATATGCTCAAGATACCACCCACTGTCACAGACCCTCTCCTGTTGCCTGCAAGATGTAGAACTCTCAACTCCTTCTCCAGTACCATTCCTGCCTGCATGCCACCATGTCCTGCCATAATGATAAGGAACTGAATGTTAAACAAGCTACCCCAATTTTCCTTTATAAGAGTGGCTGTGGTCATGGTGTCTCTTCACAGCAATAGAAATCCTAAGACACGTGCCAACTCCCATACACACATATACACTGCATACACACACACACACAACACATACTCCACACACATGCCACATGCATATATTCCACATACACACATACACACTCACGTACCAAACATTCATATACAAAATCCACACACATAAATATACACACAGTCTCACTCGCTCATACCCATATACCAAATATATACATACACATACCCACTCATACCCATATACCAAATATATACACACACATACCCACTCATACCCACACTCACACACTGATAAATTAGAATATTAATTTTGATTAATATTAATATTGATTCTAAGAGCTATTAGTCTCCAGAATATGATACAAACAAACAAATGCACACGGGAGAGACCAAACCTGGACTCGGGCATTGCTGGTGCGGTAGTTCAGCTTTGGTAAAGTGCTTGCTTTGCCAGCATGAGAACCTGGGTTCTAGCCACAGAACCTGCATCTTAAAGGAAAAAAAAATGGGGTAAGGTGGCATGTGCTTGCAACCCAAGCACTGAGGAGGTGGACTTAGGCAGATTTCTGGGGCTCACCAGTCAGCCAGCCGAGCCCAGTTGGCAAGCTCCTGGCCAGAGAACAACCATGTCTCACAAGGTGAACGGCCCCTGAAGAACATGAGGCTGTCTCATGTCTTTCTCCACATGTGTGCATGCACTGCCAGGCTGTCCTCTCTCCGCATGTGTGTACACACAGACACATACACACACACCCCAGAGGAGGAGGAAGAAAAGGAGGAATGTGGGGACCGCAAAGATAATTTTGTGAAACTGCTTTAGCAACTAAAGTTTAGCTTTATAAACATGGAAGTTGAGGTACAGGAAGGTTCTCCAACAGCTGGATGGTTTCTCACTGGCCTCTGAATGAGATCACATTATCTCTGAAAATGGTGAAATAATTCATGCTCCAAACAAGGATCAAAAACTGTCTTAGCCCTTTGCTACCAAATAGGCTACCATTTCCTAATGAAAGAAACAAAGGCCAGAGAAAAGAAACAGAAGCACCATCCTCTTCATTGCCACCGATCTGTTTGTCTCAGCAGACAAGGTTGTTGGAGCAGATTATCACATGAGGATTGAGACAGTATTCACTGGCCCCTGTCCACAGATAAGGTTCCAAGGCCAGCGGGGCTGCAGTAGTCGTAGTGGAAAAGGACCTATAACACATCTCATCGCTTTATGAACATGGCTCTCCACGGAATGGGGCAGATGCTGCTCAGAGCTAGAAAGCTTGGAGGATTTATGTAACGTCTCAACCTTATGGTTGTTTCTCTTCAGCGTCCAACGGTTCAGCAGTAAGAACACACACTGATGAATAATGCAGTAAGAGCACTCTGAGTTCAGGCTCTTCCGGTCCCTTTTCATAATTTCTTCCTTAAATGTGAGCGAAGAATTTCTACCTGGCTGGAGCGATGGCTCAGCAATTAAGAGTGATTGCTGCTCTTGGAGAAGTTTGGTTCCCAGCACCCACACTGGGTGGCTCCCAACCATCTGTAATTCCCGATCCAGGGGATCTGGCGCCCTCTTCTGGTCTCCTCAGGCACTCACACACAGATGTGCACACACACACACACACACACACACAGAGAGAGAGAGAGAGAGAGAGAGAGAGAGAGAGAGGAAATAATAAAATAAATCTTAAAACTGATCATTCCCAGCACTGGTGTCTCATTCCACTGGCCAGAGAGTATTTTTTAATGATTAGATGTTAGCATCTCTCCTTTGAGTCACAGTGTGAGTATGTCTGGGCGGGGGAGGTTATAAACAGCAACTGTGGCAGCAGAGAGACCAATAAGCACAGAAGCAGGCGCTCTAGAGGTTCTTTAAAGAATTGTTTTCATGATCTATGCAAGTGAGAAAAATAGTGAACCTGAGGGAAGCTGCCAAAATCAGCGCCCCTTTCAGGAGGTTCCAGGAGCCCTGTAGGCAGCCCTCAGAGTAGCTAGCCCTCAGAGTAAACAGAACTTGCCAATGATAGATGAGCAGAAAGAACAGGGATAGTGGACTCTCTTGGGTCACCTGAAGGTCATCAGACATTGGTGGAAACTATAAATGTTATCATTGTTTACACTGGGAAAAAGAAAAGCTTGCATTTAACAATTTATCTTTGTTCATTTATTAGAAGTAGGGTCTCACGTAGCTCAGGCTAGCCTCAAACTCTATGTCCCTGAAGATCTTGAGTTTCTGATCCTACTGCTTCTGCCTCCTGAGTGCTGGGCTCACACTCACATTGACCAGGCCAACCAGATTCTAGAAACACAGCGTTACGAAGCAAACGTGGCCCCTGCCCTTTCCTGCCTATAATAAGTGAACAGAGAGATCCCCGAATTCTAAACCATGTTAAATACCACAAAGGAATCAAACTGCGGGCAGACGAAGGCTGGGGGGAGGGGGCTTCTGCAGACCCAGGGAGTGCAAAGTTCTTTCCGAGGAAGAAGAAATTCACATATGATGCTGGAAAGCCAGCTGCCGGGGAGCCGGGTAGGGAATCCAGGCTCCTTCTAGGGAAATCCAAAGTGGCTGTCCCTTCTTTCGGTCAGGCTGAACACTGTTGAAAGATACCTATAATATGGTATCATATATGGTACTGCTACATCAGACTAAAGAGGAACCAGTAGTAAGAGTTCCAGCCACCTAAGGAAACCATGGCAGCAGATGGGGAGATCGTTTTTTATCATAGAGCTAGCCTAGTGCTACTCTGAAATCACTCCTTCACCTATAGACCTGGCGAAGTTATAGTTTGGCTGAAAAAAAAAAAGTCTTAAGTTCCCATTCATACCTTTAACCTGGTGGAATTTTCCATTACCCCCATTCAAGAACCTTGTGGACATAACACTTGGTAACAAGGGTTTCCCCAAGGAGAAAGACCCATGTCTGAAGCCTTTCATGAACATTCATTTTCTTGAGTTCTGTAGGTTAGTCAAGGCTGAAGGTCCTTGGGTGCTACCAAACAACATGGGGACTCAGGACTAGGCAGGAAGTTATGTATAGCTTCTTGGGGTTGTCATTTAAGTGAGGCAGAACATAATCCAGAGAGGCTTAGGTTTATTAGTAGCTGATTTAAAGGGATACATTTGAAAACCAGCATAAAAATCTGTAAAGGGTATGGTTGGTGGGTGAAGGTTAACTTGAAAAACTCCTGGAGTTTGACAACGGTAATGAAGTTAAGTTGCAGTTAAGTGCTTATGGCGTGATAGGCTCTGGGCTGAGGTTTATAATTTATAATTTCATCCTAGTCCCGTGAGCTCCTCAGCCCGTCACAGATGAGGAAACAAACTCGAGGATGCTCCAAACCTACACAGCTCATGCACATCACGGCCCACGTCTCTTGTCTATATTGGGTTTTTTCTCAAGTATTTGTAATATATTCTTAGGGGAAAAGCAAGCCAGAAAATTATACATGTACCATGCTTCAATGTGCAAAAGTAGGTGTTTAGGAGAACGAAGGTCCGGGAACAGCCCGGATGAGAGCAGCTGGGGCCGTGTGATAAGTCTTTGGGATGCTTTCGTTCCCTCTTGCCAGCTAGTTTAGTGTTACCATGTTATTTTTAAAATAAAACTTTTAATATATTTATATACAACCTTTTGCCTAAATTGGGTGCTGCCCTGGGTGGCTGCCAAGAGCTGCCTTTCCCCATTTCCACAGAACTTACACTTGGGAACATTTTTCTCTGCTTGGGCTTTGACCGCCACCCTTAAATGGAATAAAGTTAGCCGGAGACGCCATCCTGGATCCAGGCTGAGACCGTGGCAGCAGAAGGTCTGCCAGCTGTAGACTCTGGAGATGGCTGGGCCCTGGAGCACGTGTGGAAGGCTGGCATCCAGTCCTTGGTCTTGCACACCTTCTGTGTGGTGAGTGTGGACAGCGCCCCACTCTACAAGAGGTCTGGGCTTCGGGGCAGCCGTCACCTGGGAGGACAGCAGTTAGAGAGAAGCCTGGCCTCAGCCAGCTCAGGGTGGATGGTATCACAGGGGAGAAGGGCTCAGTGTTACCGGTAGAAGGGGAAAGAGCTACAGCAGGATCACAGAACAAGGAAGGACACACATTCAGGAAGAGCTTCAAGAGAAAATTGTGTTTGGGGTGGCTTTAAAAGAAGAATAAGATTTTATTACGACAAGGGAGACTTTTGAGTGGGAAGAAATAGCACAGGTTTAGCCACATACACACACATCTCACAGCATACCACATCACGCCACGCCACGCCACATCACGCCACGCCACACCACACCACGCCACGCCACGCCACGCTACGCCACGCCACGTACCACACCCCGGCAGAACAAATAGCAGAGTGGCGTGGTTGACTTCAGAATCTGGGAGAAATTTTGAGCAGAACTGAAGGAGACGGTGAAGCCAGGAGGATGGCATACCTTTGAAAGATGAGAAACTGACTTTCTCTGGAGGCCATAGGGAGCTTTGCTTCAGAGTGATTAAAGGTAACAGCATTTCAGACCCAGAGGCTGGGAGAGTGGCCAGACAGGAGTTAGGGACAAAATCAGGGCTTCACTCAATCGTGGAGGCCTAGGAATTGGTTAGGCATGGGTGAAGGATGGTGGCATAAGAAGCCAGAGACAAGTAAGATGTTTTAGGTCTCTGTGATTATTCAGTCAATAAAACGGAATCCATTCACTTATTCAACAAAAATTAGAAGTGTGCTTGCCCTGTGCCTCACAGAGCACCAGGACATGGGATTTAAGAATAAAAGCCATGGTGATCATGTAGAAAGATGGTAATAAATACATTACCTTTCAGTCTCACTTCAGGTCTTTCCCTGCCTCCTGCTCCAGCTACCCGGATACTGTGAGATCCAACCTCACACGGGAGTGTCTCTCCTCACCTGGAGATTTCCCCATGACACAGAGGTAGGGCCCAATCAGGGCTTGTACTGACACATGAACAGCCTAAAAGTGAGGGAGTCAAAGCAACATGGGCCGAATCTCTGACCAGGGGGAGGCAGAAGCCTTTTACCACCCCAGTTCTACTACCCCGGCAACTCCTGCCCCATCCCACAACCCCGGCAATGCTTGCTCTGGCCCACAGGGTTTCTTAGGTGTGCAAGGTCTTTGAAGTGAGCAGCCAGTCCCACTTGGACATTCTTGGCCTAATTGCATCTTCCTGTTGGCTTTACCTCTTTGCCGCCTCTCTCCCCTGGAGCCCACTCTTGTCTCTAGAGCTGCACACCCTAGCGATAAATCATCACACCAGCCTCTGCCTTGGTCTCTGTTCCAGAGGCTAGAGTCATCTGGAATCCAGCTCTTCTCCATACTCCATAGTCTAGTGTTCAGACCAAGGCTGGCACACTGACACCTCACATGGGCAACAAGTGTAGGTGTGCAGGCAAAAGTAATTCCGACCTTTGAAGTATGTGTCCTGCCTTTACATGGGTCTGCAGGGAGTCTCTTGATGCCTTGTGTCAGTGTGCAGGACTGCAACTTTGCAGCAGTCTGTGTCACACAGCACTTGGGACCATGGAGGGCTGGGCTGGTAAGAGACGCCAGAAAAGATCCGACAGCTTAAAGTTCTCCTCCGTTCCCTGGGTTCTCCAGTCTTCTGCTTCCGCACTTTATAAAAGCTCACCAGTTAGCTTTTTTAAAAAAGATTTTATTTTCATCATTTTTTCCAAAGCACAAATATGTCTTTGTTTCATTTTGTGAATATTATACATTTCTATTTAAGTAAATATCTCTATGTACATTAATATTCTGACCTACCATGAAATCTACTATAGAATTAACAATTGTTTGTTGTCTTTATTGCGCTATATATTTTTCTCTGTTCCCGTCCCTTTCTCCCCCCTCTCTTATTTTCATCATTTTTAATTACATGTATGATGTATGTCTGAATGTGGGCATGTGTATGTGAGTGCTGGTGCCTGTGGATGCCAGAATCATCAGATCCCTTGGGAGCTGGGTCACAGGCAGCCCTGAGCCACTGATGTGGGTGCTGGGAAGTGAGCTTGGGTCCTCTGGAAGGGCCATCTCCCCAGCCCCAGCAGACTGGTTTTAAAAATGATATTTCCTTCCTGCCTTCCGCTGCTTGTGTCTACTGAAGAAGGATGGATAGAAACGTCCATGAAACACAGACGCATGCTCACTATACAGCACACACTGTAGCTATACAATGTTTCATCCAAAATGCTTCCTGTTCCCAACACTGGATCTGGATTTCTTCTGGAGAAATATCTAAGCATGCTGTTGCTACCATGCCTTTGTGGGACAGCCTGCACACTCACACCCACTTCCGTACTGATAGCCCTCAGTTGTTGCTTTTTCTTTCTTCTAATTTTCAATTAGAAAGGGAGGAAAAATATAAAGGGATGAGTCTCCTCTCTCCAGTTACTAAAAATTTTAGTTACTAAAAATAACACACCCACCCTACACCCTACTTATTGGGGCTCTATCTTAACATTTATATCAGCCTATAAGTATTTAAAAGGTGTGTTTACCTATATGTTTTCGTGTGCGTGGGGTGTGTGTGTGTGTGTGTGTGTGTGTGTGTACTGATAGGATGGTGAAGGAAAGTCATGGTGTCGCAGTGTCTGATGTCTACTTACGGGAGTCTGTTCTCTACAGTTCTTTCTGTCCACCATGTAGGTCTCAGGATGTCAGCTTGGTGCTAAGGACCTTTACCTGCTGAGCCAAGCCTTTTACCTGGAGGGTTTTCTGGAGGTGTAAAGTGACTGAGGTGATGGTGGCTTTTCCCTCCCCTGTGCCTCTGGCAGGAGGGCCAAGAGTGTGGAGGTGTTGAGTTTGGGTTGACCAGGGCTCTTCAGCGAGTGAGGGAGAGTGAGAGGTGCCCTCTGACAGCTGCTCTGGGACCTGTCAGGGTGGAGATAGAATGGCTCTGTGTAGCAGCCAAGCGTTCACAGGGAAACACCTCTGGCTTTTCAAACACTGCTCTTTCTGCTTCCTCTCCCTGGCACCTACTTAGACCCTGCCATGCTAAGTCCCTCTCGCTTCCAACACTCCTTCCAGGCTGCTGGCTCTCCTTTCCCACCCAGCCGAGCACTCGGTCATGGGCAACTGGATTAAATGCCCATGACTCACCAAGTAAACCCCGGAAAGTCAGCATGCCTGACGGTTTTTACTGTCAGCCTTTGTCCCTTGTCCAGGAGCCATAGGCTGCTAGCAATGAAAATGTAACTCTTATTTTCTAGAAAATGGCAGAACTTCTAGAACCCCGGGGCTGAGCACTCATCTGGCTTTAGTTTCCACTTCTGGGAGTTCTTCCTTGTAGTGTCCAGCTTCTTCTGAGAGTCTCTACTGCCAGCACAGCAGGGTGCTTAGGCTGAGTTGTCCTGGCTTCACAGACTTGGCAGCAGAGTCCAGCTTTAGTCCTTATTTGACTACTTAGACTATTATTATTTGGCTGCTCTGTTTCCTCATCTATGAGACTGAGGAACAGCATCTAACTCCTTTCTGGACCGCCTCTGTGGAATGCCCAGTTTGATAACACCGCACTGGCCTGACAGACTCCGGTCACTCCTGTCATTTCCCTACTCATCTGCAGACAGGCTTGAAGGATGCCTCCCCATTTTTATTTTAATTTTTAGTTAACAGGTTGTTTTTTTTTTTTTCTCCCCAGTTGAAATCTTGTTCCTGGAGCTGCAACCAGCATGAGCTGCCCTAGTGACCCAGTGAGTCTGAGTGAGTAGCAGGGCCACAGCCATAACCCCGTCACTGCCCAGGCCAGGCTCTCTGACATGCTTGCTGCATCGACAAAGTGACAGCAGCTATAAACGGCTACTCTTCCCACTTCAGAAGCTGAGACAGCAAAGCGATTCTTTCAGACGCCTTAAAGCTCGCTAGGGACTGGTGTGGAAGCCTCGCGTCTCTTTCCAGTCTGATGTTATGACCTATGATGGGCCCAGCTTTAATGGTGCCCTTTCTGCTTCTTCATTCAGCAGCTCAGAGAGGGAGGGATTTGTCGATGAATACAAGCAGCGGCCTGCTATAGTTGCCTCCATCTCCCTACAAACATCTTAACATGCTAAGGAAGAAGATACTGGAATGGCTCTGACCTGCAGGCATACTAGAGACATATGTTTGATCCTTTGGCTCTATATAAAGTTCTGCATCAAACCCACAAGCAAACATAATCAGCTTCCTGAGAGCCTGTTCTGTAGGGATGGGTGTTAGCCAGAAGCACAGGGCGCCCAAGTGGGGGCCTCCTGGAGGAACCGTTCCTGGAGCTGAGGGCAGAAGCGGGCACGCAGTGAATCACCGAGGAAGAGAAGCTACTGAAGTGATGTTCTAATGCTCAGGCACAGACTTGTGTGACGGTCCTGAACTCTGTGTCTGTCTGTATTCTTAGGGTCTAAAGCTTGAGAAATTTCAAACACAGCACATATTTGGGTGCTGTGCACTGAAACAACAAAAAGTTTTGCAATAAAGCTATAATAGTCCAGGGGAACCTATTGTGTAGAATCTGATGGAAAGATTAACGAAAGCTCGTATGGGGAAGTCACGGATAATATGAATTTCTTTCTTTTTCTTCTTCTTCTGGTAGCTCTGGGGCTAGAACCAAGTGTCTGCCAGGCAAGCACTCTACCACTGAGCCCAGTGTGTGAACATTTTAAAGCCACTGAGCGAGGTTAGAGATGTGGCTTCAGTAGTTCCACTCTAGCGCTGAAAGAAATCTGATGGGCACGTGAATTACTTATCAACTTAAGTGTGAAAAACATCTTGGAAGACAGGCCCATTACTGTGAATAAAACGCCAAGGAAAGGCAGTGCCTTGAGGTCGTGAGTCACCCGTGTCAAACAACTAGAAAGAACCGGACTCAAGAAAAACCAGAGTTACAAAGTAATCTGAAAAGAAAAGAGACTTTAAAATCTGATTTTTTTTCCACAGAAAAATTTTATATGAAAATACAAAAGAGCCAAAATTGCCAAAGCAATAATAATTAAAACTAGCAGTGATTTCAAATTGTACCATAGGGCCATAGTAATAAAAACAGTATGTTACTGGTTTAAGAAAATGTCTGGATGGATGGGGGAGCAGGGAACCCAGAAGTAAAATCATGTAGCTACAGCCACACAGTCTTTGGCAGAGGTGTCGAATACATACTCTCTTACTTACTTTTCAGTTGCTGTGATAAAACACCATGGCCAAGACAACTTATAAAAGGAAGCATTTAATTGGGCTTTCAGTTTCAGAGGGTTAGGGTCCATAATGGCGGCACAGAGGTTTGTTGGCACGAACAGCTCACAGCCTGAACCCTGATCCAAAAACAACAGGAGGTTTTTGAAGTCTCAAATCCTTCCCCATGACACACCTCCTCCAACAAAACCACATCTCCTAACTCTTCCCAAACTGTTCCACCAACTGAGGACCAGTTACTTGAACAAGGGAGCCTATAGAACCTTTGGTTTCACTCAGGTCACCAGACGGCAGCCTCTTCAGGAAACATGGGAAAACCGAAAAGCCACTTGTAGAACAATGGAACAACAGAGCCTCACACCCTACATTAAAATAAACTCAAACTGGATTAAAAACCTCACCTGTGGAACTGGAAAGTCTGAAACTTTTGAAGGAAGATGGATAGACTACTTTAAGATACAAGCACAGCCAAGGGCTGTCTGCAGGGTTTCAGTGCTTCAGGAAGTGACAGCAAGGACCGACAAATGAAATTGTGCGGCATTTAAAGTCTTCTGCATGACAAAGGAAATGCCTTCAGAATGCAAAGACAGAGGGGAAGACATCCCTGTCAGCCACACAACCAAGGGATTAGTATGTAGAATACATTAAGAGTGCAAAAAGTTAAATACCCATTAAATCCAATCAGTAAATGGCTAATCTTGGTTGTCAACTTGACTGTATTTGAAATCAACTAAAACCCACGCTATTCGGCACTCATGTAAGGGATTTTCTTAATGAGATTATTTCAAGCACAAAAACCCACCTTAAATCTGGGCCGCATTCTGGTGGCAGCCCACACAGAAGGACCTGGAAGGAGGAAGCTTGGCTTCTGCCGGCTGCCCTCACTTTCACCAGCAAATTTGTCTATCCTGTGCTGCGGCCAGAATTAAACCCAACTTCTTCAGGATTCCCATGTAGACTGAAGACCAGCTGTACTCCAGGAATCCTCAGACGCCAGAACCAGACAGGGATTGCAGAATCCAGGTCACGGCCTGAACAACTACCAGAGTCTCAGTCTATCTATGCTAAGAACTACCTGCACTACCTGTACAACATTCTGTTAGCCAGAAAATAAGACACACCACACACACACACACACACACACACACACACACACACACACGCAAGTTCTCTTCCATTAGAGAATCCTGACTAATAAAGCTATCATCAAGAACACAAATGATGCAGATGGCCGTGAGGATGTGGAGAGAGTCCTTATACACTATTGGTGGGAATGATGTAAAACAGTGCGGTCACCATGGAAATCGGTGCAATGGTTCCTCAACATGTTAGAAGTAGAATTACCACACGACCCAGATATCTAACCATGGAGTAGATACCTAAAGGTCAGCTAGCCATAGAAGATACTTGTATAGCCATGTTTATTATGATATTATTCCAAGCTGTGGAATCAGCCTAGGGATCCATTAACAGATGAATGGATAAAGAAAAATGTGGTATAAACACAATGAGATTTAACACAACTTTTAAGAAGATCGTAATTCTGCTATTTGCAGGTAAATGGATGGAGTTGGAGATCATCGTCTTGAGTGAAATAAGCCAGACTCAGAGACAATTCTTACATGCTTTCTCTTAACATATAAGACATGAGAGTAGAAGGGTGACTGCTTGGGAATGGAGAAGGGAGCCAGTGAGGGAGGAGGGCTGGGTGAGGAGGGAGGAATGGGAGGGTATCAGGAAGGAATTTATCAAACTGCTCTTATAGGTTGCTCCGGAGGATCCATCGTGAGTCTAATCATTTGTTGACTTTAAAATATTAATTATGTATCAGTATTTGTTGATATATGTGTCTCTGTACCACATTTGTGGTACACATAGCCAGACGAGGGCTTTGGAACTCCTGGAAGGATAATTATAGATGGGTGTTAGCTGCCATGTAGTTCTGGGACTCAAACCCAAGTCCTCTGAAAGAGCAGCTATGTTCTTAACCACTGATCCATCTCTCCAGCCCCAAATTCAATGGCTCTTAAGGGTCATTGGTTATGTCTCTGACCTTCATGCCCTTCGTGATGACTATACCCACTCTGCCACTGGTGGCTGAGCATTGCTGTAGAGTCTAGAGCCATCCATGAAACCAGGGAGTCCATTTCAATGCAGCATCTCCATCCCAGGTTCAGCCTAGAAATCCTGGCCACAGGAGGATCAGTACAGTGTGCAGACGGCAGCAGTGAGCGGGCTGCTGTCTTTGAACTACTTAAGGGGCAGCCCTGAGGGAATACCTAGAAGGGAAGTCCTACTATTGTGCAGAGCTTGGAGTGGTCTTGTCAAATACATTTTATCTCGGAAGAGAACGACTTGAGAACTGGAAGGAAGCCAATGCATTGACAATAGCTAGTGGTTTGGACAATTGAGAACTTGAAAGAATTAACTGAAATGTCTGGGACAAAGAGTTTTGAGGAAACAGTATATGAATACTTGTAATGGGTCCAGGATGTAAAAATTTGTTTGTTCCATGAGAACGCTCTCTTAAAAGTGTGGGGGCTCTCAAGCAGGGAACAACATCCCTTGCTCTAAGAATTAGAGTCTTTTTTTCCTTCTCACCCTAGTATTTCCTCAATGAGAGTATGAGAATCACTGGGATTGGGTGACAGGTTCAACAATATGGACATTCCAATACACAGGTGACCTGGCCGCATCACTGCTGAGAACACAATGTCCTTGGAGCAGTAACTAACCTTGAACCTTCAATATGGCACGGCAGCCTAAAGGTACCACCTGTAACATATGCCTGGGGGGTTGACTGTGTTGAATTCTTTATCATGGAGGAGATAATTTGGTTATTGGAATAGAAATCCATCTGATACAGATTTGCTTTCTCTGTCCTCTATGCTTCCGTGAAAAACATCAGGTTTAATAAATGCCTGGTTTTATGGTCAGTAGCCCACAAGTTTTTCGTAGACATCAGCCTTGATTCTTTCCTTCTCTTCCCCTTTATTCATATACTTTTCTCAGCATACTGGGGGCCACACAAGGCCATCAGAAGCACAGGCTCAAATGAGAAAGTCATAATTAAAGTTGATTTTTTTGTAGCCTGTGTCCTTGCTTGTAACTGAAATCTAGTTTCTTAGATTTATTGTCAGCTTGTGTGTGTGTGTGTGTGTGTGTGTGTGTGTGTGTGTGTGTGTGTGTGTTTAGACATGCACACAAGCAATCAGATACCAACAGGAGTCAGAAGAAGGTGTTAGATACCCTGGAGCTTGACTTACAAACAGTTGTGAACCACCCAGTGTAGGTTCTGGGAAGGGAAGCTCTGGTCCTCTGGAGGAGCAACAATGAATTCTTAGCTGCTGAGCCATCTCTCCAGCCCCATAACTGAAATTTTAATAGGTTGTGACTGCATAAACGTAATTTACATCTTGACTTCCATCATTCTTCCAACTCTACAATATCAAATACTTCTTTATTATCTTTCATAGCGCCCCGTCACCTTTCGCTGTATTAAAAGAGCACTATACCCACATCATCTCAGCAATACTTCAAAGAATGTCGATGATTCTCATACGCTGTATGTCTCCCCATTAGTATATAAATCCTACTGTGTCAAAGGCTTCGGCTTTCTTATTACTATTCCCACCCCTGAAACAATTATTATTAGCACAGAGTAATTTAAGACATTAAATAAATACCCCCCAAATGAATGACTGGGAAGAACACAAACAAACATTTGATTTGTGGATGAGTAAACAAAGCCCTAGTGCTGGCCCTGGCAGACATCCCGACACAGATGGTCTTCATGTCGTTACTCTTACAGGTTGGTCCATCAAAAGGCAGGGTGGTCCTGATGTGAACCTAGCATCAGGAGAAGCAGCGCTTACACAGTGTGGCACGGGCAATGAGACAGAGCTTACTGACTGGATGCCCTTGGGCTGGGCAGCTGCACCGATGTCCGTGAGAAGAGGAACCTCTCAACGCTCTACCTCTCTGCACTCATGGACAGGCTTTCTTTCAGCCCAGCATGAGAAGACTGTCTTAGAGAGGAGGGGAAGTAGGGAGCAGCACACTTCTGAGTGGCTTCTCCCATGGGACAAACTCCTACTCTGGCTTTGACCCACAGCTTCTTTCCATCTTTGCCAAGGGCGGAGCGGGGCTGGCTGCATCTAAAGCTAAAAATAAACACCCGAGGTGGACATTGTTTGTCAGGAACAGGTGTCCTGGTACTGTTCAACTTCTGAATGCACAGGATATGCCATCGGACCCTTTTGAGAGGAGACTGGACCTGGGTGGCAGCTATGGAGGCTGCTGTCCTATCCTGGGCCCTTGAGGTCACCCCAGTCACACCTGTATCATCTCCATCCCCAAAGAAAGCACATCCCCATCGTGGCTTTCCTGGCTTCTTCACCACCTCCTGCCCCGTGCAGATTCACGGCCACCACTATTTGAGTCAAGGATTACAGAGTTTCTCAGAGTAACACAAACTATTCTTCCCATGAACAGGCAGTGAAATTATGGCCCCAGCACAAGGTACCTATTCCCTTGTGTTTTGCTCAAGCTCCTGCCCCTGTGTCACTGTACCTCTGTAGGTGTCTGTCTAGAAAGTAAATAGAACAAAAACTCCTTCAACCTATTTTTTTTGCATAAAAAAGAAGTTGGTGTGGGTGATTGCATTCAAAGCCCTTTCTGCCGCAGTGAAATTGTTCAGATATATTCCCACCTAAACTCATATATAGAACCCCCCCCCAAGCTGAGCAGAAGTAGTTGAAGTAGAGGCAGAGAGGAGTGCATGGCTGAGCCTCACCCATCTTGCTCCATCTTGGTCTCTCCCCTAGGAGAGTGCATAAGCTATAACAATCTCTCTGTCATAGCTCAGAGCAGTGTGAGGCCTGCAGAGCCCTAGCAGGATAGAATGCATTGAACTTAAGAGAACGAGGCCAAGGTGAGCATTCAAGCCTGTGTTTATCTGTGCATGCGTGGATGAGAGGCTGAGGTTATGTCAGATTGCATCATCTGAGTGGCCTTACCAGGAACCAAGGCAAGGCCAGAGACCTTGCCTTGTTTGGCAAATTTGCATAGTTTGGCTTGGCCAAAAAATACCAAAATGTTTCAGGTATGAGTGAGCATCGGTAGACCACAGTAGAAGGAACTGTAGAGAAGCCAGCTAATGGATCCTTGAAAGACAGTCCAGGAAGCTTGGGTGTGATCCAGGAGGCCACGAGGAACTCTGTAACTCTGTCCCACAGGAACAGCCAAAAGCCTAATGTCTGTGCTAATACAGAATCTACTCCAGAGGGGCACATGTCTGAACTATAAAAACCTTTAGTGAGCACTTCATGCTGGCTCTTGAATGCTTCCCCTCCTCCTGTCTCAGTCTTAGTGCCCAAATATTCTGCCTAAAATGCATCAATATGCTTTTGCCTCTTTCCCCCACCCTCAACATCCAAAATGAGTCCATCCAACACCCTGGTGCCTTCGTGAGCTTCCTGAAAAACAAACCCAGCACACTGTGGCACCTTCTTCTTCCACTCCTTCCCTAGATTTTCATGGAATAAAGTAAAAAGCAAAACAAAACAAACAAAAAAGCTGCAATCGGGGCTCAACTGGTAGGGCTTGTGCCTAGCTTGCAGGAAGCCCCGAGTTTGATCCCTAGCACTGAAGCACCCTGGAGGGGGAGGCAGGAAGGACAGAAGCTCAGCATCATCCCTAGCTACATGAGGAATTCAAGGCCAGCTTGGGGTACACAAGATCCTGTTCGGAAGAGAAAGGAGGAAGGGATGGAAAGAAGACAGACCCAAGCTTCCGCACCTCACACTATGGATTTCACCCTAGCTTTGTCCTTCATTACCCTCATGGTTAATATCATTAACTTGCCAAGATCGAAATCACCTAGGAGATCAGCCTTTGGGTTTATCTATAATGAGGGAAGATGCACCCTGAACGTTGCTGGCGCCATTCTATGGGCTGGGGTCCCAGAAGAATACATAGGAGAAATCAGGATGAGCACCTGCATCCGCGTTCTGCCTTCTCACACAGGAGGCGCAGGGACCAGCGGCCTTGCTTTCTCTGCCGTAACGATTAGCTTCCTTTCAGACTGTAAGCTGGAAGGACTCCACCCTCCAGCTGCTGTTGTCAGGCATCAGTAGAGTGTGGCTAACACACGGCTGCTTCTACCATCTCCACCTCTGTCTGATCCAGGCTCCACCCACACCTGCTCCCTTTCCCCTCTTTCGAGTTCTTTCCCTCTCTGAGTCTATGTAGAAGACTTTTTTTTTATTAAAAAACCCAGTCCTAATCTCGTGCACTTCCAAAGTGCTCTGGGGACCTTCCCAGTGAAACTGACTCTCGGGGTACCACATTTGTGGGGTGTACCTCCCCACATACTTATGTGTCAACCTACTGGACAGGGTATTTATAAATGCCTGCTTCTCCCAGCATGCTGTGTGCTCATAGAAAGCAAACACTGAATTAACAAAATAAGACCTTAATGAATTTCCTATACTTGCTAGCAGAGTTTATGGACCTTTTTAAATAAATGTTCCAGAACTGTGAATAGCCGTCCTGAGCCCAGAATGTGCTGATCTTTCTGGTCCCATACACCTCCCCCTCGCTCTATAAGTGAAATCAGCACTCGATAAGAAATGGCACCCTGAGTAGCCAGATTCTCCCACACCCCTCCCAGCCCAGTGTTGTGTCTAACCCTGGAGCCGGGCTGGCAGTTTGAGGAAAGGCCTGGCATCAAGATCAAAACACCAGGACTTTATCAACCCCACCCCACCCCACCCCCCCGCAACCAATGCTTTCCCCCCTCTGCTGCGGCTCTGGGTCTGTTATTGGAGGCTGATGCCGCTTAGCCTGTGACGACTGTAGACAAACACCCACTTAACAGTGGAAACAAGCCCAAAAGGCAGCCCTCTGCAATCATGATTGAGCGTGCCTTAGCTGGGCTCCGAGCTAAAGACCATGAGTGAGAGGTTAAGAATGATGGCCAAGCACAAGATGGGACGGCCTGCAGCCTGGGTAAGCTTGTGTTCATCAGTCTACATCTGATGAAGCTTCTAACTCCCGCCTCAGAGGAATCAAAGAGCGGGAGAGTAAGGCTGTCCCACAGCAGCCCGTTCAACACAGGATGCCACTAACTGCAGAACCTCAGCCTCCCGGGACTTAGGCAGCCTTGAAAGCCAGTCCAGGAGGAAGAGCATTCTGCCTACCAGCATGGAATTCCATCTCCTTCAAGCTCAGCCCCAGGCTCAGACCCAGCCCCAGATACAAGGTTTCTCTGCCTCACAGGACGCTGTCACAGCAGACGTATCCCAAAAATCCTTGTTCTCTCCATGAGTGTAAATGATAGGGGGAGGAGGTCTGTGATGTTTCTAGGGTTTGGAGTGGGTACCAAAGTGTAGCAGCAGAAAGGAGGAAGGTTCAACCTTCCTTCAGAAAAGTGGGTCCTTGGCCAGAGTGGACATTGATGAAGGGATGTTCAGTGAGTCTAATGAGGTGAGTTAGACAATAGTTGAGGTGAAGGGTGCCCTACGATCCTTAGAAGCACTAAGATTCATTTACACTCAGTGGATCCAAGCCACACAGGTGCCACAGACACCCCAAGAGTTCTGTAACTTGCCTGTGGTGATGCAAAGCTCACAGCACATGCAGCCTGGGAACCCAGCAGACCTTCCACGGAGCAGGTTACTCTGTCTGAGTTTGGGGATGTTTTCCCTTTGCTTTTGGTAGTTCTGGAGATGAACCCAGGCTCACACATGATGGACAAGCATTCTCAGACTGAGCTGCCTCCCCAGCTCCAGTTCCTCCGTGAGTTACAGTGACCATGCCAACCTCCCAGGCCTTCTAGGAGGTTCAAGTGAGGACATAGTTACAAAATCCTTAGAAACTTCAATAGCTACACAAATGGGAACTCCTTGTTTCCTCTACTCCCAGCTGCCTCTTATTTCTCGCTTCAATTTTACTAGTATGATTATGTGATATTGAAGCGAGGATGTGTGGTGGCAAGGTACCCCCAAGACGGATGCCAATCCTGTTGGCCTGCTATCCAGTGTAGGCACTGTTAACACTCAATCCACGGTCTTCCCTGCCTTCGATGGTGTGTCTCTTAGGACTGGGGTAGACAGCATGCTCCCTCCGTATTCAAGCAAGAGGGGGCCAATCTTCTGGGTGGGGGAGATTCTGAGCTCCAAAGAAGAGAATGGATTGCATGGACAGCACCAGACACACCCCCAGGTACCTTTCAGAACGGAACTAGAAGCTTTTTGTCCTCACCCATA